CTTTAGCTTGGGACTCAAAATCCAAGCCTTCTCCTGCACCAGCAGAGAGTCTGCCAGTACAAAGTGCCCATGATGAAAGTGGCCTTTCTGGGGCTCCTGGGTTGCCTGCTGTGCAGCTCTAGAGCAGTGGGTTGAATCTTTTTAGCATCTGGTGCCAGATTTAGTTTCCAAAGCCTCAAAACTTAGTCACTGACACCAGCTTGAGTCTGTTTCAACACTAAACAGGGCAGTAATTTATCACAGCCACTCTGGATAGCAGCAGCCAAGCCTGTGTCAGGCCTCCCCCTGGCCCCGCCAGGGTGCTGAGGACTTGTTGCAAGCCCACTTACTGAGCTTCTTCAGCCTCCCTGCTGGAGAACTCCAAGTTTAAACCTGGCCAGAGCCCAGGATACCTAATGTTTCCAACTGATCTGCTGGTTTTGCTGTTTTCATTTTTTACGTAGTTTACATAGCAAGGTTGTCCAAGTAACCATAAATTGTGCACCCTTCACATCAACTGAAATGTGGCGATATAGTGAAACATTGATATAATCTTAGTAATCTGGCTAGGAAATTGGACGGGGACTAAGAAGGTGAAGCTGTCTCTCTTTCAGCTTAAGTTTGCAGTGGTAATTTACCTTTGATGTTTTCCATTCTGATAAGACACAATTTCTGAACAGCAACAAAAATTAACAGAAAACTGCTGTCCATCTATGTCTGAGATACACCTAAAAGCTGTTATATAACTAGGCATCAATGCCACAAGTTCTATAGGTTACAACTTTACTTGCACAATAGTATCTGAAATTCCTGACGTCAGCTGTGGACATCTGCAAAGGCAGATATCAGTAGTTTCCTATTACTGAGTAGTCTGTAAGAAAAAACAGGAAAATATCAACAGGTTCCATTTTTGCAACTCAGGATGACAAGGCAATGTTTACATAGTCTATGATAACCCTTATTTTATATAGAAATTATTACTATATATGCTCAGTTCAAATGGTTACAAATATAGGTAATAGCACTATTTAACTATGCTGCAGTAATTGTCAAGCACATACTCCTAAAAATACAATCCTGCTTATGAAAGTTTAAGCCAGACAAAATCCCGTATGTATTAGTAGAATTTAGCTTTAAGACAAAGAGAGTCAGGATATCATACCTTACTGCTGGTGAAAGAGGTGATTGTGTGTATTCTTGAACTATGAGACAGGACCTACTTCTGGAGAAAACTGCTCTTTTATTAATGAGAGCATTATCAGTGATATAAATGTAATATTTAAGGATATGCTGACCATTTTGTTTCACATTGACATTTTTCACCACTAAAAGCTACTAAGATTGCTTATTTCTTAGTAAATTACAGAATTTGTTCCAAAATCTGCACAGAAATATCTTAAATCAGTGACACATTTTCAAAAAGACTGAGCATCTGCTGCACTCCACATACTGTACTTTCATACCAAAATTATCCTTTTTATTGTGAAGATTTACTGTAAAAGTCTTTAGGCAACAGTTGAAAAGTTAGAATAATGTATATTTTAATTTGACATCTAACTTATATCTGTATGAATACGAGAAATGACCAAAAGGTAACCAGACTTCAAGCTGCACCAGTTTCGTTATTACAATCCTTTCTTTTATCACAATTTCTCATGCCATTCTGAAATCACATTAAATCAATAAAGGTTGGTTAGACAATATTGCTGTCTATACTGTTCAAGAACACCAATGGTTTCTTTTCAAAGAAGATAGTACCTTGCAAACAGAAAAAAATGACAAATTTGAACTGGAGTTACCAAGGTAACAATGGTAAAAGCTATCTTTAATAGCAAGACAGATTTATTCATAATATAATAATGTTGCTTTGCTGGAATGAATATTCCAGGTACAGCAAACTTGGAGAGGGAATCTTTATCAGCAAGTGTAGTGATAGGACAAGGAGTAATGGTTTTAAACTTAAAGAGGGTAGCTTCAGATTAGATATTTGGAAGAAATTCTTCACTCTGAGGGTGGTGAGGCACTGTCACAGGTTACCCAGAGAAGCTGTGGATGCCCCATCCCTGGGGCCAGGCTGGATGGGGCTTTGAGCAACCTGGTCTACTGGGAGGTGGCCCTGCCCATGGCAGGGGGATTGGAATTAGGTGATCTCCAAGGTTCCTTCCAACCCAAACCATTCTATGATTTCTTTTCATTGTAAAAACTTCAGAATTAAATAGGGTTATTAAGATATCATGTATCTGTGTTATGTATTCAGGTGGTTTCAAGGGAAAGTGTCATGAATTAAGTATTGGTACATAACCTGAAGTAGAAAACTTCAGGTCTTTATTGGTTTTGTTAGGACATGACCACTGGCAGAAGTTATACCCTATTGCCAATGGAGACTGCCAATTGATACTACAACCAAGGAGGTAAAATAATAATAATAATAATAATAATAATAATAATAATAATAATAATAATAATAATAATAATAATAAATCTCTGGGGCTTCTCCAAGTCACCTGGAAACCTTCCACATTCAAAGCAATTGTCCATGTTAGATGTTCATTTCATCTGAATTTTGGGACTGTACCTGGGAGACATGCAAATTTACTATAACCAAAGCAGTCTTATAGACAGACCTTGAACTGAGATATTTAATAACTTTTTAATAACTTATTTTTTTCTTATCCATAGGATTAAAAATAATCTAGTATCAAAATATGCTAGCTTGCAAATTGGAGAAAATGGCTTGCATGTTATAAAAACTTTGAAATCTATGACTTGAGTCACAAAGACTATTGATTCATTATTTTTACCTTACTCCACACATTTGCAATGCTGACTGACAAACCTCTTGTTGGAACCCACAGACTGAGGCAGTTTCATTTCCATTTCCACGGACAAACTGATAAGCAAGGCTTGGAGCACAGAGTGGATGGAGGCAAATATGCCTCAGAGGCAGAGTCAATGAAAAAAAAAAGTCAAAGTAGTCAAAGTTACATTTTCAAAGTCCATTCACATACATCATCCTGGGGGAGAGGAGAAGAAGGGACAGAAAAGTATATGCAGATTGTGTTGATAATTATTTTATTTTGCAAAAGCAATTCCATCTCCGCGTGTGCAAAGCTAACTTTGTAAGGGCAAATTAGGATTTTGTGGTCTGTACATATTAAGCTATCTTTTCTCATATACATCTATATTTAAATAATGAAAGAGGGCTGGAAATTGCAGGTACAAAAGTAAGTAACACTAGTGAAATGTTAAGAAGTTCAAATGTGCAAGTACATTCAGCATAATACTAAATCAGCTTCTTTTTGGAGAGTCTGATCAGCCAATGTCCTGCTATAATTGTTGCTGGAGCTCCTCACGGGCTGATTACTGTAAGGTGGGCTTCCTGCCTTTTCAAGAATAGCTAGTAAAAGGGAAACTCAGCAAGAAAGTAATGAAGAGAAAGAGGTAGTAAAAATTACCTAATAAGGGCCCCAGCACCTGTCAAGCATGTTAACTGTCTTCAAACAATGAAGCAAGGTCTGTTTTACAGAAAATAGAAAACACCTCTGAAGTAACAGATTTGTGTCTTTGTTCTAATAGTTATCAACATGCCAAAAACAATCCATGCTCAATCCGCATAATGTTATCTTTGGCAGCATTTTAGATTTTAGGAGCATTACAACATGTTAATGTAATGAGGCAGATTATTCGTTTTTAATTTAGGCATGAGGAACATGCAGCCAGAAGTGTGTTCCTAATAGGAAATTTTCCACTGTTGAGAGTGCTAGAGCTATCTCATTCGATACAGCCAAGATAAGAAAGGGGTGTCCCTTTAGAATTGCTTCCTGCCATAAAGAGATAGTGCACTTAAACTGTGTTTAAGCAGCACTATTAAGTGTTTATTAGTTTGTTTTGAATCAATGGTTTAAAGGCTTTAAGGTGAAAAGACAGCAACTCAGTTTTAAAATATACCAGATGACTTTTTCTTTAAATAAGAATTTTAAAATTATGTGCATTATACAATAATTTTCATGTTCTGTCTCTAAATTTTATAATCTCCTCCTTGTTATACAGGAAGTTTTGATACTTTTTTCTGACCACATTGCTGAAACTTTACAAATTATCTCGGACTGTACTATTGCCAGAGACTGTATAGTTGCTAAGAAATTGCTAAGCATATTAATAAGTAAGAAGGTGAATAATTAAAGAAATTATTATGATTTCCATGTTCAGTAAGTTTTGGAAATTATATTTCACACAAAAAACAGCATCAGATATAGTAAACAACATACTAGGCTGAACAAAAGTTCCTTAAAACCATATTAAAGAAAATACTGCCAAAACTGAAAAGTTGTTGAAAGATTTATGTTGAGTATGTTCATGGCCATAGCACTAGTCTTTCACAGTAAAAGGGACTGCTGTGAATAAATCCTGCACCACTGTGTAATAAAGTGGTTGTACTCCTCAAAATGCTGTTTAATCAATTACATTTTTAAAGACATGGAAGTGGAGGCATGCACAAGAGACTGTTAGCAGTAGAGTTAGAAAAAATATATATCCCTGTAGGTTGTGATTTCCACATCTTTATGTACTTACCCCTAAATTGCTTTCAGGAATACTGTGCAGATCTGCCTACTCGAACATAAAGCCTGGATATGGGCACGGACACTGTCGGAGCAACTCAGCAGAACCCATAAATCAACAGGTGTTTGCAAGCACGTTCTCAGGTTTCATGATCAGAGAGATCCCTGAGAGTGCAGAGTGGCATTTGTCAGTATTGTACGCAAATTGCAACATTTCTTTGTGATAGAACTAGTAAAAATGATCCTGTTAATTGCTTTTTAGCCTCATCTTTTTCACTCAAGTACTCAAATGTAGCTAAGTCTTTTGATGAGGTGGATGGCATGCCAATTGTAACTGTTTTCCTGAAGGTCAGTTAATAACATACTGAAAACATATGGGTCTCTCTTTCCTTATCAAAACTGTACTCAGTGATGAGGACTGAAAAAAAAAACCAAAAAACAAAAAACATGCAGTGGAGGTGACTGCCTCTTACCCTGACTCAGCCCACATTGCCATCTTTGCCCATGATACTACACTTTCTGCCCCAATCCCCATTTCATTCACGGAGTCTTCGAGAAGAGCTGTGGTTTGTAGGTATGCTTGCTTGTGAGTTTGAGTTTTTTCACCTACTTTTGCAACAGGCAGTGCAAACCTTTTGTGTTTGCTTTCCACTCCATTTATTAAGTGAACTTTCACAGAAAGAATGTTTGAGTCATGTGTGCTGCTACAACCTGACAAGAAAATTTTAAATCATAATTCCAAGAACTCTTGGAGCCATGCACTTGACATATTTGGCAGTTCAAAACCAAATGAGGCAGTAAAAAGAATTCCTTATTATTAAGGAATTCCTGTTAAGGAAATATCATAAAACTATATTATCGCATAGCACCAAAATATAATTACTCATAGTTCTCATTATATAAAGGATACAAGCAAAATGCTCTTTCTGAATTCTTCCACAGTTAATTTCAAGGATAAACACAACTCCTGTAGAACAAAGCAATCATACACTTCCAAACTACGGATTAGTATTCCCACTACAGTTTGTATTACCCTGCCAAACCAAAGCAATAATTATTTCCTCAAAGTTCTAAATTTTATCTCATTCATGGAGGGTTTGCAAAACTAAATTTATCAATATTTGTAAAGATTATTCTTGGTTCTCTTTGAATAAAACTACTGTCAGGCATTAGGATTTTTAAAGTATTTTTTTATTTACAGCTTAGTTCTTGCAATGAAAACCTGAAGGGTATCTTGAAGGTCTTGGATTCAGCAAAGACTAAGGTAAACATCATCACAACCTGATCATTATAATTATACAGAGTAGTTACATTAACATTTATGCCATCTGTCTTTTTGAAGACTTTGCAATAATGCAAGGGTTCAGCTGAAGGAGTCTGTTGAGAAAAGGGGCTGAAAGCATGTTCATGAGCATGAGTTTATGGGATATCATAAGATATTTTGTATCCTTGGGGCTCCATCCTGTAGACAGCTATGGGTTCTCTTTTTAAGAGTACAAATTCCCTGGTTCCTAACTAATCCTGTGCTTTCACCCATTCCTCTGTCTATTTAAATTTACCCATGGCATCCATCAGCAGCACAGCCTTGCAACTTTAAGTTTTGCTCAGTTGAGGGAAGGAAAAGAGGGAGAAGAAATAACTCCAGAACTGTACTTTTCTTTAATCTTGTAAATTGAGGGCTCAAGATTTACAAAATAATAGCTGTTAAGCCTCTGATAGATGTACAAAATAATCTGAGATAGGATCTGAATATCTGAGTTTTAGTGAGGCCCATTAAAAACATAATACAGCACTTCCCATAGGATTTTAAAAATGTAGACCATGGATATGCAAACATCAACATGTGTGAATCCTCCCATTAACCTCAACAGGCAGCTGAAAATTAATTTTATACTGAAGTGTTTTGCTTGCTCAGGAGCACAGAGTTCAGCATCTTGAAAACAGAAACCCTTTAGTTAATGATGACTGAGCCTCTTCAGTATCTGATACTATTGGGGGAAAGGGATAGATGGAAGTTTTTTTGTGTGTTTGTTTGTTTTTTAAAGTAATGCTTCTCATTGTTGTTGCCTCAATGTATCTCAGTGTTAAACTTGTCACTAGGGCAAGTGATTCACCTCTGCTGCTATGAGAAAACACTAGTGTTTTGCAATGACCTCCTGTGATGCAGGAACGTACTCCCCTGCAGCCTGAGATTTTAAGTAAATCATATCTTACTTGTGGGTCTCATTTAACCAGCATATCATCCATAGGGTAAGCAAGCTCAGTTTTCTGATTTTGATTCTTCAAGCCCACTGCCTAAATCTTTGGATTACTGGACCTACAATTGCTCCCTGACTCATCCTCCCCTCCATGAGAATGTAATCTGGATTATCCTTGAAGAGCCTATTCCTACCGGCTCAGAGCAGGTACAGCACTGCAAAGACCAAGGCCTTTTGTGTCTTTTAGCTTCTGGGACACTATCATGTTAGAATGTATTGCTGCGTTAGGTCAGTTTGTCTCATTTTTATAATAAAATCAGTATAATCTTTATACAGCGTTATTGTTCTTGATAACATTTATGATTCTGCCTCAGCCTGGTTAGGCTACTCATACCTTGCAAAGTCTTGTAGGGACTGAGATAGGGTGACTTCAGATTTGCGGAGTTACTTCCATTGCTCAGGTACAGGTGGTTTGCTTATTTAAACTTCCTTGTATTGCTGCGTCTCCCACAGCAGTAGTCCTTCCCATCTCCATTGCTACAAGACTTCCCAAAAGAAAGTCTCAAAATGCATATTTATATCAAATCTAAACCCCAAACCTGTCTGAGTAGGGGATTTTGTGGTGTGCCACAAGACTAAACGGCCAGGGTGCAGTGCTATAAGGTGTTTAGGAGCTGCACTGCTGCTTACCATTTCCTAACACTGTCAGACAAGCTAAAACTCCCTCACTAGCCTTACTTAATAAAGTATTCATTCTGCTCTAAACTCTTATGAAACTGTGTTAAATTACTGCCACCTATCTTTCCAAAGGTGTTTGAATTATCTCTCCAGGTAAGGCTAGTTAAGTACTTTGAATCTTTGAAAATAAAAAGCAAGCATGTATAAATATATTTGGTATATTTCGATATGATCCTTATCTATGATCCTTATTACTCATAGAAGGTTTTATTAATTGAGCTACTCAATGGGTACAGGACACAAGTTGAGTACAAATAACTAGACATAAAAAGTGACGTTTAAAGAATCATAGAATCACCGAATGGTTTGGGTTGGAGGCGACCTTAAAGACCACCTATTGCCAACTCCCCTGTCACGGGCAGGGACACCACCCACCAGATCAGGTTGCCCAAAGCCATATCTGACCTGGCTTTGAAAAAAAGAAATGTTGAATTAGTTTGAAGGTGTTGTTTTTTACTTTCATAACCAGCAATATTTGTAACTTATCAAACCTTTTTACATAGGGGACAGCACAGTGGCAGCAGTGTTTGAATGTTTCTGTGGTAACTCAGTATAGGGGTGAATAGAATATCCAAATCACTCATTCCAGTGTATAGCAGCATAATTTTTATTCACCACTGGATTAATTCAATATAATGAAGCTTTATTTATTTTTTAAAAATAAAAAGGTCATTGGGAACTATAAGAATTTCTTTCTGATGTGCAGTATAAAAGCACAAAGCTGCATACATTCTCTCATTCCTCATGGCATTTAGCTGGCCCAGTTCCCCACAATCCTGCCTTTTGCTGAAGGGGAAATACCTTTTCCCATACTGAGCAATCACTGGCAACCCCGTCGCTGAAAGGCAGAGTGCTGAGAGGCTAATTCCAGTCAACTAAAGCAAACCTGGAGAACAGCCTATTCGTCAAAAGCACCACGTCTATAAAAAGGGCCATGGAAAAATCTACCAGAGAAATGAAAACATTCATGTTCTTAACTGCAATATTGCTTGTCCTGCCAGGAGCTGTTGTAATTCATTGTACCATTAGGCTAGTGTTTTTACTGAAATTAATCTATACTGTTTTTGTAAGAGGAAACTAATGCGTTTTAATGCATGAAATGTACTTTAATTTTTAATGCGTGAAATTAACTTTATAATTTTTAATTTATCTTCACATTCCTTCTGATGTGCTAAGTAAACCATGGTGATAAGAAGCAAAGTAAATGTTGAGAGTGAAATTAATTGGTACTCAGCATTGCACAAGGAGAGTGTATGCAGCCGTATCAGATGTAATTTTTTTGTTTGTTTGTTGCTTTTCTTTTTTTCAATTAAATTGCTTCTGTTAATGGCAATTACTAATGGTTATTGTGTTAGCTAATAAAACTGGTTTCTTTTTCCAGTTTACGTGATATACACTTAATTGAAATTAAATTAATAAATAAAGCACCTTGAAATGAACAGTATTGTACCAGTGCTGTGCTATCATTGTTTTCAAAGAAATTATGCAATAATTACTGTTTTATTCCACCTGCAGCATCTAATGAAGAATTACATATATGCACACACATATGGCCATGCAAAAATAAAGCACCATCAGGTTCACTGTTTCTCAAGGAGAGCAGCACCCAGCTTTGCAAAGGGCTCCACAGTGACAACTGAATTATTTAATAGCCAGCGGTGGCAAAGCTCTGAACAAGATAAGGTCAGACTCTGCAAGGAACAACATGAAGCACTAGAATAGAAATTAGGTTTCCAGGTAGCTCTGTTATGCAACTTGAATGTTATTTAACTGAAATAATGAAGTACCTTCATTAAGCTATGTTAATATTATCTGTGAACAGGAAGATAATAATTTTCATTGCTCTCAGTTCTCAAAAAAAAATGCTTCTGGGAAAAGCAAGGGTAGAAACACCGCCTGATCTGTTGGACTGGTTTCAGAGGAGGTGTTTTCCTCGTGATAACAAAAAATTAATAAACTTCACAAAATGATCACAACGGGCATACATTTAAGAAATTGAAACAAATCTATTAGGCAGAGATAAAAGGAGATGTTTTGTTCAGATTCTCTATAAAAGCTCTTTCACAGGTGTTCTGAAGCTGTATCTTGCAATTTCTCAGGTTCAGCATGGGCATGAGACCTGTGGTTTCGATCAGTTGGAGACATTTGCACATGTGAAGAAGGGTGACAGAAGGTGGGCAGCTGGATCTACTGGTTCATCTCAAGCTCATCTCCAACATAAATGACTACACCCTATTTCTTTTTGTGCAACTCCTCTGGAAAATTACTTTAATAAAATACATGTGAAAATATTAAGTAGGAACAACTGTGAAAATCAAATGGATCTACTTACGACAACCAAGAAAATGAATAAGCAATTCATAGTCTATGAAACTGTAAGGCAACGGAAATGTCCTTGATTTGATCAAGGAAAGGCAAACTCATTTCATAGTATCTCTAGACTTTGACTACCAGTGAAGCAGAGCTGTCTTATCTTTAGAACAAAGAAAGAGAACAAAATTCAAACAGGATTATATTTTAAGACATAAAACTATCACTCTGTTGACAACTACTGATACCTGCTGTCAATATAAAAGAGGGAAAGGAAAATTACTTAGTGCAGTAGTTTGAATGGATGATTTCTCAGTGTCAAAGATTTAATAAAACTAACATTTTCTCTCTCTCTCTCTCTCTTTTTTTTTCTTTTTTTTTTTTTTTTACCAGAATTAATCATTTTCTCATTTGTTGTTCAATATTTTATCCATACATAAAAATATTAATATCTGTGCAGTGCATCATAGCCAAACTCTACAGTAAATCACTCACATTCCGAAATAAAAGTAAATGGCAAGCTACCACTTAAACAACTCTTCTGGAGAACTTCTGCTAAGCATCTCCTCTGCTAAAATAAAGTTCCCTCATAGCTCTACAGCTGTGAAACAGTAGTTCCATTTAGCATTTCACATCTGATCAGCAGAACAGGCTTCAGGTCAGGCTCCAGCAACACCTTTCATCTTGAACTCTGTCAGGCATGTTAACTAGGACTCCTTTTTTGGGTTTATAAGACAAAATTGGAATGATTACTGTTCCATATTCATTTTTTTTCTTTAGAAAGGCTTTTCTAGTTCAACTTTTCCTTCATGTTGAGGGAACTGATAAAACTTTGTAGATGTGATAGTCTAAGGAGCCCTAAGTAATGGTTCATGACAGAGTGTATGGATTTTTACCACAGGGTTTATAGATCTCTTGGAAAAGGGAAGACCTTGTCTTACGGGGAATCTTCCACAGCTCTAATCCACGCTGTACAAGATACAATAGTGCAGGAACTGTACTGCTAAGCAAGCCCAACAGCACAGGACATGAAACACAGTGTGGAGGCAGCTAACAACAACATTGGATAGTGGAAACATTAGCTGAAAAAATGCCACAAGTATTCATAATGCATTGCTACCTATGTTTGTTTTTGTTTTGTTTTATATTGTATTGGCACAGAGCTCAAATAGAAAGCATTTATTTTAACTGCTTAATCTGTAGGCATTACGTCTTTTCCAGTTCTATGAGGTAACTGAGAGATAGCACCATAAACACTTTAAAATCAGCAAACAAAATTATACCAAAAACTTCACCATAGTATAGCAAGAGCTAAGTCATCTAAAACAGCATATCTGTAGTAAAAATGCACCTACAGGGTGATGTTCATGCCCATACAGTATACCGTGACTAATTTCTTTAAGAGCTATTGGATACATTGCTAGGCCAGCCAATTGCCTGAGGTTCCTCAAGAAGGGTGCTGAAGAAGGAGCTTGGGTGACAACAAGGCACCTGCTGCCTCAAGGGACCCCTTTGTCACCAAGGTATCCCCAGAGGGCATGCAAGCAGTAGTGCTGCTGTGGGGCTCCCACATCCCAAGGGGTCTGGAGACGCCTGTGCTACTGCAAAACCAGCAACAGCCGCAGTGCTTTCAGTGCATGCAACCCAAAATGGTTGCTTCCCTCACTGCAAAACTATCTCCACCTGATCCCCGCTGTATGCCTGTTACATTCACTTCCTATTTTGTCTGTGAAGCACTACCACTGGCATTTGGATAAATCTGGGAAATCGAGGGGCTGGAATCTTTGAACAGTGTTCACCCCTCCTCGGGAGCCCCGTGAATTGAAGCCAATGCCACCCAAGCAGGAGAAACCCCAAGGAATGGCAGAAGGGAGACCGAATGTGTCACAGGCCCAGCGGCCCTCAGAGTGTGTCACCCAGGGAGGTGACAGCTGCTGGAGTGACACGTCCGTAACTGAATACAGCAGGGGAAGCAGTGTGATTCCTCCGAAATGGGGCCACAGAGCATGGCCTGAGGGACAGGCCCATGGCTTATCTCTGCATGGCCCTATCCAGGCCCTGGCTGCAGACATGTGGCTGAATTTAGCCACGGACAAGGCTGCTGGCCACTGGGCTCACCCCTGTGTAGACAAGCACAATGTTGCCAGTGTTAGACAAGGCAGTTTCCTACACAGTATTTTTGACCTTTTAGTCACAAAATCACTAGCTCTGCACAGGAATCCTGGCAGCATGAGGATGTGCTTTTTTGAGACAGCGCACCTTCATTTTTGGCATCCAATGCTGGACAGTGTTTGTGGCAAGCTAGTTCCCCCTCAGCACACAGGCAGCTGCCCCAGAGGAGGTAAAGCTCTACACTTACACAGCTTTGCTTAATTGATATAATTTATTTCAGTGTTTCCTACATCCTTTTTCCAAATGCATGCTTTGCTCTCAAGTATCTAGATAAGATGGTTCAACAGAAGCTAATAGAGGCTGTCAAAGCTGTGACTCGGACTGCTCTTATTCTCACTGAAATCTGTAGCAAAGCTCATGTTGATTAAAGCTGTATAGGATAAAGCAGTGAATGAGGCTGAAAGACTAGAAAAATAGTGTCTGGCAGGACAAAATCTCATGCAATAAAACCCCATCTCTCTCTGGGACATTCAGTTACCAGACAAATGTAATAACATGGATCAATATGAAAGAGCAAATCACCCACTGCCAATTTTTTAATAAATGGAACCTCTGAATATATTCTCTCCTGTCCTGTTGTAAACTTGCTCCTTCAGCTGGAGGGTTGGGCAGTCTGGTCACCTGGACCACCCCTTACAAGCAAACTGCTTCCTCATGATAAGGAGATGCTAACCTTGGCACACCACCAATGTGCTGTCAGGAAATATTTAGATTTACCCTTGGAAAATGTGTTAGATCAGATCTGGCAGCAGTGGCACCAAGAACCATGAGTAACTGATGCAATAGGACCACTACTGTCTTATGGAGAGGTTTCTCATGAGGAAGACCGAGAAAGAGATATTCACAGCTGCACCTGTGCAAAGAATTTGGCTTCCCTGCAGTCCTCTAGGGAACTTCCCCTCCTTCTTTCACCAAAGAAGTAGTCTTCTATGGATTTGCACTGTTGTGATGTGTGGTCTAATATCCCATAACAAAAACAAACACTTATTTTTTAATTATTTTCATGGTACCATACAGGACATTTCTGCCACGGCAACATTTGCTTGAGGCAGGGTCCAATGTAGCCATCATGTCTTCTATCTAAAAAAAAAAAAAAAAAAGAGAGAGAGAGAGAGAGAGAGAAATGCAAGTGAAATGCCTGAAATGGTCACTCTCCTTCTACTATTCAGAGTGCTTTCAGCCCTTAAACAAGCCCTGTAGGATTAGGCAAGACTTTACAAGGCTGCTGGCGAACAATGCATTTTGCATTTCCATTACATGTCCCACTGCGAAGTTTGTAACTTGGATTATTTCATCATTTGGTGAAGGGAAAGAAAGGCTCCAGAGAAAGCCTCCAGACAGCTTTATATAATTATTGCAAATGAAAGCTTTGCCAAGACCTACAGAATTGTTTCCTATTTCACTCATTGTACCCTGCTTCTGGCCTCCTAGTTTTCCCTGGTATGAACATTGCTGACCTATCCTCTGATCCCTTAGCCTTCCTTCCAAGTATTTGTTGTATGTGTATTTCTTTCTTCAAGTGACATTTTAACTCATTCAAGCATATTTGATTGATGAGAGGGAGGTGGAGAACAGATGTTTGGCTCAAGCAGTTGAAGACCAGACACTTATGTACAGGAGATCAAGCTATAGGCCAGTCTGAAATCTCATTTCTGTAATAGTACAAGTTGTGAAAAGAACATAGACTGAATTCAAATAAATGCTTCAATATAACAATGCTGTAAGTATAAAATAGTAAATATTAAAACCTAATTGTGGTCAAGGCCATGACATACACAGTATCTATATTCATGTTCTAGTAGATCTCCAAGAATAGTGGGATCCAATTACTCCAATGGCGTGGTTAGACAAATGATAAGATTGAGCAACTACCAAACCATTGTTCCCAAAGGTTATGCTTTGAAATCTGTAAGCATAACAAAAAAAGTGACCCGTATTGCTACATGGATAGAGCTACCATTAAGTAGGAGATTTCTTAGGTAGTCAGTATATCATGGAAATTAAAACCTGGTTTTTAAATGTCTAAACAAGGAGTTAAGTACTAGTTTGAAAATACTGACTTGATGTGACTACTGCAAAGCTACAAAGAAAAATGGTGTGATGTTAGGAAGAGAACAGGGCTTCTGCTTAGAGCTCCCATGCTGGAGGTGGCTCAGCCTCCTAGATCAGACCTACCATTAAAACACAGCTTTCCAAAAACAGCTTTCCAAAAACACCTTCCATCGCTCTTCATGAGACAAATATACGATCTGCCCCTGACCTGAAGTCATGTCTTACACATCCAGGTTTCCAGGCTTTCTATGAACAGGAAGGCTCCCTCTTTCCTCATAGACAAAGAAGAGGGTAACCAATTTGTAATTGCTCTCATCTTCCTTAATCTCACCCACACACTTTGACTGCAGGCTTTGACTGCAGGACCATCTGGTTTTAGTCTGACTGCACACCTAATGAAGATGGTGGCTGTTAGTATAGTTAAATCAACACTCATTTATGTGCTGGCTTTTGTGACACAAAAGTCACAAAAACTTTAAATTTCTGCTGAAAGACAACAGACTTATAAGCAGAACAAGCATTAACAGAAATTTCACAAGTAAGGAGAAGCACAAGAAAGACTTACAACAGGATTTTGAAGACACATTTTGGCACCTAAAATGAAACCTGGGCTGACTGTTGGTGGCTAAATCCAGTAAGAATTCCAAAAAGCATATGCCTGCCTGCCTCTCTCATTTACGAGACTGGAATGTGCTGGAATGCTGTGTGCAGTGGTGCCCATGAAGCAGCCAGCTGACAGAGAGTTAAATATCCAGACTGAGTGGGGACAAGTTGTCACACAGGTACTCCACGAGGACTCAGAAAGGAAAGAGGCCACTGGTTAAGTCCCAAGTTGCAGAGCTGTGCAGGGCACTCATAACAAACACCACAAATGTTAGCCATGCCCCTTCATATGAGCAACTAGAGAGGGACATGATTTGGCCATGGGACATGGTTCCTGGCCATTGCTAGGAAGCTCCTCAGCACAGTTTTGGAAAATGTCAGCTACAGCACTCTGTGAGAGAGCCCAGATGTGGTGGAGTCAAGGTTCCCAATAGACCATACAGAGGA